AGGTTAAGGAGCTCGTCATCATCGTTAAAGAATATGTCCTCGGTCTTAAAATGGAGCTTAAGAGAAGAGAGACGAAAGATGATCCAGTGAGGCAGCAGGAACTCGCTGCTTACTTCACTCACTGCAACCTCCAACTACCTCACTTACGTCTCGCCCTGTTCAGTGCGATGGGTGTCTGCTACAAGGCGAAGAACCTCGCCACTGCCTATAACTTCGCCAAAAGATTGTTGGAAACAAACCCAGTGGAGAGCCAAGCCAAGACGGCTAGACAAATCGTTCAAGCCGCTGAACGCAACATGACTGATGCAACAGAGCTCAACTACGACTTCAGAAACCCGTTTGTGATTTGCGGGTCAACCTATGTCCCAATCTACAGAGGTCAAAAGGACGTTTCATGTCCTTACTGCAGCGCCAGGTTCGTACCAAGCCAGGAAGGAAACATATGTGGCGTCTGTGATCTTGCAGTCATTGGCGCAGACGCATCTGGTTTGATGTGCTCTCCGTCTCAGGTCCGGTGATTTCAAATTTATTTATCATCTTCAAACGTGAGGTAAGTGCTCTATTAACGGAAGCAGAGTTTTGAGGTTTTTGGTTTTTTTTTTTTGTGATTGTGTGCTTACGAAAAGTCTTGTTTGTGAACTACTTCGTTGCAGGTTATGTTGCTCTTTTGGAGTCTTTCAAGTTGTTTCTTAACGCATGAGAGAACTTTAGCTTCTTGCTCTATAATTTGTTTTGTTTGGTTTTATATTTTACAATTCTCCAGAACATTTCAATTACGTTTCTTTGGATTTTAAAACTCGAGATCACTATGATGATAGAATAGTAATATAGACGAATTTTTGCTAAGTTTCGCAATGTCTTGCATTTTGTTTCTCTGAGATGTTGGTAATTTTGACTTATGCGTATTTGCTATTTCCTTGTTCCAATTAATATAAACATTGTGCAAAGACTGAAATACCCACACTTTAACATTCTGATCAGACACAGTTATAGCTACGACATCTCCATCAAAATTAAAAGAGGAATACAAAAATGAAATAACCCTAATATTTCCTCAATAATTACCATGACATGCCATTGATATTAACTATATACATTCACTAATATTTGGATAAAGCTTTTCATGCCAATGCCAAAAAAATAAGTTCGATAAGCCCATCGTCATTTTGATTGATCCAAATGCCGTGTATTTGTATACTCTCTAACCCATAAAATAGGATTCATTGTTTGTATCACCACAATCCCAATATCTGCATAAAATGGTTTAATAAAATTAGTAAAACAAGATGCAAAATTGTATTCAATTAGCATTACAAACCAGAACTAATATATCAATTTAATAATGTAACTGTAGAAAATATTACTAAAGCGGATTATATGTATTAAATAAATCTATATTTATGGATATTTTATCCTTTTAAAAATTAATAAAATAACAATTACTCCTAATTTTATGTATTCTATATCTTTTCTAAAATCAATAAAATATTTCCTAAATTAAATTTTATATATTGCATAGCTATATTTGTTCTGAACATCATATTCAATACTATCTACACTATTAAAGAAAAAATACAAAAAGAGAAAAGAAATAACAATTATTTTCCTCAATAATTACAATAGAATGTCATTGCAATTAAAACACTGTAGTTTTGCTCTTATGTAGTTTCGATATAGGTTTAAGGTTCACTAATTTTAAATCAAAACCAAATTGCCTGAAACTAAATTGTCTAATTCAATTTAAAAATGGTTTTATTAATTAAATGGCTATAACTCTTATTTTTGTGTGAATCTTTTTTAATTGTTGTTGTCTAAATAATTTATCTTTAAAACAATATATATAAAATCTAATTTTAAATAAAATCACAAAACTTATAGTATAATTTAATAAAACACACACAATCTAAACAAGATACTCTAATATTTAGACTTAATTTTTAAGTTTACCAAGTAAGAAAAAGTACAATATAAAAAATATATAACTTGATAGTTAGAAAAAATATACTAAACAAAATGAACAATATTCACCGACATCAGAGTTTAATAACCTATGAAATATAAATTGAATGTTTTTTACAATTAATACAAACATATATATATATATATATATATATATATATACAGAACATACATCCGCGTGGGCGCGCGGATCAAAAGCTAGTTGGCTTTTAAAACCCAACTCAAATGGGTTAATTTAAAGAAAAACGAAAATTAATGTCAAACTTAAATCTAGTTCTTGACTCTACACTCTTGATCATCATATAACTATAAATATACTCTATAACTAAACATAATTTATAAATCATAATAAAACTATAAATATACTCCATGATCTAAACATAATTTATAAACCATAAAAAACAATATTTTTTTCTACGATCATTATAATTTGAAACTATTTATCACACTTTTTAGCAAAAAAACTATTTATCATGGTTTCATTTACTACATTTTAAAATAGTTTTTTCCTATAAAACAATTAAGACAACTATTTAGAAACTGATCACAAATGCGATTTTGGATCTTCATTCATGTCTGAAAAAGCTATCATCCGTTTGTAGATTTTTCTTTCAGATTCAGAAAAAACTGAACTATTAATTTTCTGACTGATTTTAAGAATTAATCTACTTCTAAATATATAATTATTGGTTAAAGGTATTCAGAGACCATTAACATAGATTAATTCTAAACGTTTTATTGAATTGAATCAATTAAGTATAATCATTTCTGGGTTAGTAGAATAGTATAAGCAAAAGAAAAGAGTATAAGAAAAAATAGAAAACTAATCTGAAATTTATCAAAAAATAACTCGTTGAGCATGAAAATCTCGTAGTCGACAATTTGTTCAAAATGAAATATTAATTAGTTATTATAATTTTGTTTTTTCTAATATTTATTATTTGGATCTAATAAAATTTAGGTTTAATACAAATATGTAACTAAAATTGAAGATTAAAAATGTTTATATACACCTAAAATCAATAAATTCAATGTTTAACAAATAAAGATATATATTCATCTTATTTATATAATTAAAAATATATTTTTATTTTTTTTAATTATCTAAATGAGATCATATTTTGTGGAGTTAAATTTTATTTTTTATTGGTGTCAATAAAAAAGTTAAAGAAAAACAAATATATTTAAAAATAGTGGGGTCAGGTGACTGGTATAAATATTGATTGACCTAATTATATTAATATTGATTGAGTTAATTATATAAATATTGATTTTTTAAACATAAATAGCTTCATTTATTTAAAATTATATTTAAGAATAGATATCTATTTATCTAAAATTATAATTCTAGACAGATTTTTTATTTATTCTTTTGGGTTAGAAGATATTAAATGAAATTTTATAAAATAAAAAATGATACAAATTGTTTACAATTATCAAAATATAAACTAAATATTTTTTCTAACATTTGTAGATATCAAAAGAAAATAAATGATATTATGATTAAAAATATATTTATTTTAAAATATTGTACAATAAAAATTTTGTTATGTAATAAAAGAATTATGATTATAAAGATTTACTTAAATAATATTTCAAATTTGTAAATTATTTTATATTATTATTTTATTTAATGATGATGTATTAGTTATTAGCATATTTTAAAAGTTTACTAGAAATTAAAATTAACATTAAATGTAGTTGTTCATGTCACATTCAACCATAATCTAAAAAGGATATAATCAACAAATATTTTAGTAAGTATATTCTGCTAAAATGGAAGTGTATTTTAAAATTTTTAAAATATAACCATAGAAAAACTGATGATAGATTTAATATTATTCAAATTTTATACCAATTTCGTTGGTTGTTTGTCAAATTATTGAACCTCAGGTCTCGTTTCATTTCTCAATTTTCCTAAAAAAAACTTATCCAACATAGATGAGGAACGAATTGACTAAAGTTCTGTTTTAGTTGACCAAAGATCATATCTTTTTATTTATTATGTTTCAAAAGAAAATACAAATATTTATTTTTAACTCTATTTTATATTATAAATATGTACGAACAAAGTTGCATTTTCATCTCAAAATCAAAAAATATTATTTGATAAACATGTATCTTGCAATTAAAATGATGAGCAAAGCGACACTCTTTGTTATTTCATTATTGAACTCTAAAATATATGTAAAGATTGGTAAAATATTATTTTATTGTCATATCTAAGGATATTGTAACATTTCTCAAATTTATAAAGTTAACAAAATTGTTAGCTTCATATTATGGAGTAACTAATTAAACAATTAATTTCTGTTATTTCTTAAAGTAAACTATATAATTTAAAAAAAAAAAAATTCATTGGTTTAAGATAGTATAGATTAATTATTGTTTGAAAATGATGATTTTTCATTTTTAAAAATAAACTATATAATTTTAAAAGTTAACATCGGAAAATATATAAATAATTAAATTATATTATCACAACATAAATAATATAAATAACTAATTTATACTATTACAATATTAAATTATATAAGTTTAATTTAAACATATATTTTATTATAATATCTATATATCCAATGGATCATCTAGTTTTTATTAGCCCAATAAAAATTTCTAGTAAGCTCAATAAATGTTATTAGTGAATCTAATGAATGTTATTAATGAATGAATAATGTAATGTCATAAATTCTATAAAATGGTCCATTTTAAAATATCATACATGAAGTGAAGTCATGACTTCTCTTTTAATATATAAGATTTGATCAACAAATATTTTAGGAAATATATTTTGCTAAAAGGGAAGTGTATTTTAAAATCTGAAAATATAACCACAGAAAAAACTTATCCAACATTGATGAGGAACAGATTGACTAAACTTATCCAAAAAAAAACTTATCCAACATTGTGAGATCATACCTTTTATTTATTTTGTTTAAAAAGAAAATACAAATATTTATTTTAACTGTATTACAAAATATTATAAATATGTACCTATTGTTGCATTTCATCTGAAAATAAAAAAATATTATTTGATAACCATGTCTCCTGCAATTAGAATGATGAGCACGACAACACTCTTTATTCAAATCATTACATTTTTTCTCTTTACCGCCACTGTCTTATCATCATCCCCTCCCAGTGGCTTCAGCATCGACTTATTCCAACGTCGCTCAAATTCATCTTCTTCTCGAGTCTCTAATACTCAGCTCGGATCATCTCCTTACGCCGATACCGAATTTGAAAACTTCGTCTATCTTATGAATTTACAAATCGGTACGCCTCCTATCGAGATCGAAGCTATCTTAGACACAGGAAGCGAAATCACGTGGACAAACTGTTTTCCTTGTAACGACTGCATTATACCATTCAGCCCTTTAAGCTCCTCGACCTACAAAGAGAAAATATGCGATGACAATCCTTGTCCGTATGAGATAAACTACGAAGACAAAACCTATTCAAGAGGAACATATGCAACCGAGACTATCAGGCTCCAATCAACTTCAGGGAAACCCTATACAATGCCTGAAACTACCATTGGATGTTCCCACAACTCGTCAGCAGATTTTAAAAAACCATCCCCTTCGGGGGTTGTTGGTCTAAACTGGGGACCTTTATCACTTCTCTCTCAAATGGGTGAAGACATGTTAGGTCTCATGTCTTACTGTTTTTCTGGTAAGGGAACTAGTAAGCTCAACTTCGGAAGTAATGCTATTGTGTCAGGAGATGGAACTGTATCAGCTAATTTGTTTAGGAAGCTTGAGCATCCCAACAATTATTACCTAAACCTAGACGCTGTCAGCGTTGGGAAGACGCGCATTGAAACACTGGGGACACCGCTTCACGCCTCAGACGGGAACATTATTATTGACTCTGGAACAACTTTGACTTACTTGCCCGAGAGCTACTGCAAAAAAGTGAGAACGGCAGTGGAAAAGGTTGTGAAAGCGGAACGAGTAGCTTCCCCAGGCTACCAGCTTTGCTACAGAACCAAAAACATGGATTTATTTCCAGTGATAAAAATGCATTTCCAAGGTGGTGCGGATCTTTTTCTGGATAAATTCAATACGTATATGACCAATGGAGAAGTCACTTGTCTGATGATTGTTGGTGATCGATTAACACCAATTTTCGGTAACAGAGCGCAAAACAATTTTTTGGTTGGGTATGATCCTTCTTCACAATTGGTTTCTTTTAAACCCACTAATTGTTCAGCTTTGTGGAGTTAGACAAACCAAGAGAGAGTCATTTTCATTAATAAGACCATAGATAATGGTTTTTTTTATGTGAATGAGTTGATGTATCACAATCATAATAATATTTGCTTAATTTTCACATGTTTTTTCTTTAGGATCATTTGGGCCAATTTTAAATATTTTGTTTATATGAACAAAAATAAGCACATGATTATTAGATTTTACTTTTTCTCAATATAATTTAAAATTTTATAAAATATTGGAATATTTATAATGAAAGACGTAAACCTTTACTAAAAGAATAATATAATATCTATAATATTATTTGAAAAGTGAATTTCATATGTGTCGCATTCATATTAATTTAGATGATGGTCAATTACATTGATGATCTTAATGCATTAAATTTATATAAAATGTCTATAAACAAATTTTCTATTTTAGGTTTTATTAATAATTGTTTACTAAAAGTAACAAAATTGGAAAATATCTATATATTTTCTAAAGCTATTTGGAAGGTTTTTTATGAAACACTCTATTTTAAAAAAAATTTATATATATAGCAGGTTATACATAAACAAATATTTTTTTAAAAAAGTTATTTATATTTAATAATAAATATATTTTTATTTACAAAATATTTATGGATTAAAATATTTACTATTTTCTTTTGAAAACAAAATTTACTAATTATTTAATTTTAAATTGAGAGAATCAATATTTTTAATATCTTTAAATTATATAGATTTTATCAAATATTTAAACGGTAATACAAATAACCAAACTAAATGAAAATACAAAACTGCTTACATGTTAGCATAATTTGAACCAATAAAAGTGTTAGTTAAATTTCACTCAATTTTTCAATTAAATATGTTTTAAAGTGAATAATCAAATTGGTCGGATTTGTCCAAAACAAAAAATCAAATTGGTCGGTATTTTTGTACCTAAAATGCAAAAATTATATGTCAAACTAAGTACTTAACAATATAACTACAAATTATGTTTAGTTTTCATATATAATAAAAACCATCTTAATATTTATAATCAGTTATTATATTTTTTATTTATAAATATTTTAATATGTGTAAAAAGTTATAGAATATCACTGATTATATCGGTTAGTGAAACTCTAACTAAACTAACACTTAATTTTATTTTTTTCTATTTCTTCTCAAAACAACATATATATTAAATTATAATTTTTTTTTATAAACTATATTTACAAACTAATATAATGAATTAAAATAAATATTTTTTTTAAATCTGATTTTACAATATTCAAAATCAAAACAAACTATGATTTAGCTGAAAAAATTATATAATTTAATATACCAAAAAAATTGAACCTAAATTATTATGATACCACATATTTAATTGATATAACAAAAATTTATTGAAACATAATATATATAGATAGATTATAAAATGAATTAAAATTGGAAACGGCACATTCGCTAATTATAATTATTATTTTTGTAAATATTGATTTCCGTGCATAAGTGCAGGAGAGTCATCTAGTAGTTTATTAACAAGTTAAATCAGTAAAAAAAGTTCTTTAGAAAAAAATCAAACATAGTAAAATTTATTAATTAGAGAAATACCAAATAGTTTTCAATTTCACAAATAGTTTTCAATTTTAGAAGAAATTTTAAAAAGAAAATAAGTCTGCGCTTTTAATCAAAATATATTAATACTTTAAATATAACGTCAACTACAGTCATACATGCACGTTAACCATTGGAAAAGGTTTTCCATATCAAATTTTGTTGTTATTCCTCAAAATGATGTATTATTGAAGATGGTCTAAGCCATATCATCCTACAATATGCAGTATGAGATGACTCTTCCATATTCATGCACGGATATAGTTTTTTTTTTAAAACTAAACACAAAATAACTGGTTAATATTTTCCTTTCATTTATTTATAATTTTTATAATTTATATACATAAAACAAATAAATAAATAATTTTATATGGATATGTGACTTTACTTATAAAAACCGGGTTAACTTGATTACTTTTGGTTATACCGACGAATCTGAACTCCACACAAACTCTAAATTTTGTTTCTTTTTGAAGTTTAGACATATCATGCAAAAAGGATATAATTTCTGAAAATGATATGTTTGATAAAATATCAAAATCTATGCACAACAAACGATTTCATATTAACCTTTCAAATCTTATTTGAATCTTACTAAGAAATATTATAGCATAAAACTAATTAGATTTGTTTGTTTCTAGACCAACACTTCAAGAAATAAAATAACAACGGATTAATCAATGACAAAAGGAATACACAAATATTTCTAACGATTATTTTGTAGTTAAAAATATATTAATTTAAAATGATTAATTGATTGTAGATAACTTAATAACTTCCTTAACAAAAAATGAATATGATTTCAAAATAACTTGGACAACACTGTATAATATTACTAACAATATATCAATTCCTAAATTCAATACTATTTAAATAGAAACACAATTTTGATTTTATCGTTTCCCCTTGATGACCTTATTCTAACAAATCTATAGTTTTTACTCTAAACGATGATTCCATAGCATTAAAAGGTATTGTGTATTTTTAAGGGTCATTTTTTTATGAATGAATATATTCAGACACTAACATCTAAAATATTTATATCCTTGTACTTTTATTTAAAACACGATTATAAAAAAAAATAAACTATTTAAAACATGATTATATTATATAATCTGTAACAAATTAACCCTATATATGCATATCTATGGTACTGATTTTTGTGTAAAAAAAACGGTTCATACATAAATCCAAATAAACATTTAACTATATTAAGAAATAAACAAAAAAAAGTTATATTATATTATAATTAATCAGCTAAACACATAATCTATATATTTTATTGGGTACCTGCTCTTTTATTATTTGGTATTCAGATTTCAATTTTTTGGCTTAGAGATTTAAACGATGTTCCAAAAATTACGGGTGTGGTTTTGGAATCCATTTAAGATATGCAAACAATATAAAGTTCAAATATACTGTAAATTCTAAAAATCCAAAACTTAAATAATATAAAAATATAAATTTAATTAATGTAGAACAAAATGTCTAAAGTTAAAATAAAATTGGTTCTATTTGGATATTTTGATGGATAACAAGTCTTTATATATTTCTGGTGTTATGAACATTTTAGGATATCCAAAAAAATTTGGTTCGAGTTAGGTTTGAATCCGATTCTTCTGATATTAAATTTTTTTTATATCCAATCAAAGTATTGATCAGTTTTCATTTAGATTCAGTACTATTTTTCGGATTGGGTTCAATTCGGTTCTTAAGATCTGGATTTTTTTTCCTAACTCTATTGTTTATGATTTAAAATTTTTAGAAATAAAATTTGACCAGTGCAAGACATGTTTGGTGATGTATTACTCCGTTTCAGTTTCTAACTTTTAAAAATAAACTAAAACGAGTACGAGACATGCCAATAAATAAATTTATATAAAACTTCAAATATATAACTATAGATATAAATAATAGTTTATAATAAGTAAAAGCTTCAAAAACAAATAATTTTGCGTTTTAAGAACACAAATCAAACTTAATTTTTCCTTTAATGAGAGGATTTGGTCAACAAATATTTTATAAAGTATAATAATTTTCTAAAAAGGAAGTGTATTTTAAAATTCAAAAATACATTTGACTTGAATTGGTGACCACAGAAAAAAAATGATGATAGATTTAGAATTATTTAAATTTTATACTAATTTCGTTGATTTTTTGTCAAATCATTGAACCACGGATCTGATTCCATTTCTCAATTTTCCTTATGTAAGATAAAAGTTAAAAGAAAAGATTTATTATCCAATTTTGATGAGGAACGAGTTGACTAAAGTTATTTTTAGCAGCAAAGATCATATCTTTATTTATTTGGTTTTAAACAAAATAAAAAAGTATTTATTTTTAAATGTATTATAAGAAATTATAAATATGTACGAACAAAGTTGCATTTTCATCTCGAAATCAAAAATATTATTTGACAACCATGTCTCCTGCAATTAGAATGAAGAGCACGGCGACACTCTCTATTCAAATCATTACATTTTTTCTCTTTACCGCCACTCTCTCATCATCATCCCCTCCCAGTGGCTTCAGCATCGACTTATTCCAACGTCGCTCTAATTCATCTTCTTCTCGAATCTCTCTCGGATCATCTCCTTACGCCGATACCATCTTTGCTTCCTTCGACTATATTATGAAACTACAAATCGGTACGCCTCCTGTCGAGATCGAAGCTTTCTTAGACACAGGAAGCGATCTCATCTGGACAAACTGTTTGCCTTGTACGAACTGCTTTAAACCATTCGATCCTTCAAAATCCTCGACCTACAAAGAGAAAACATGCAATGGCAGTTCTTGTCTGTATGAGATAATCTACTTAGACAAAAGCTACTCAAGAGGAACATTTGCAACCGAAACTGTCACGATCCAATCAACTTCAGGCCAACCCTATGTAATGCCTGAAACCATCATTGGATGTTCCCACAACTCCTCAGTAGATTTTAAAGCATTCCCTTCAGGGGTTGTTGGTCTAAACTGGGGACCTTTATCACTTGTCTCTCAAATGGGTGAAGACATGTTAGGTCTCATGTCTTACTGCTTTTCTCGTAAAGGAACTAGTAAGCTCAACTTTGGAAGTAATGCTATTGTGTCAGGAAATGGAACTGTATCAGCTAATTTGTTTAGGAAGAAGGAGCCACCTAATATGTATTACCTAAACCTAGACGCTGTCAGCGTTGGGAAGACTCGCGTTGAAACACTTGGGACACAGTTTCACGCCACAAACGGGAACATTATCATTGACTCTGGAACAACTTACACCTACTTGCCCGAGAGCTATTGCAACAAAGTGAGGACGGAAGTGGAAAACGTTGTGAAAGCGGAACGAGAAGCTTCCTCACCAGACAACATGCTTTGCTACAAAACGAGTAATATGGATTTCTTTCCCGTGATAACAATGCATTTCCAAGGTGGTGCGGATCTTGTTCTGGATAAATACAATACGTTTAAGACCAATGGAGAAGTCACTTGTCTGATGATTATTTGTGATCTATTAATACCAACTTTTGGTAACAGGGGGCAAAACAATTTTTTGGTTGGGTATGATCCTTCTTCACAATTGGTTTCTTTTAAACCTACTAATTGTTCAGCTTTGTGGAGTTAGGCAACAAGACTAACCCAAGAGAGTCATTTTCATTAATAAGACCGTAGAGAATGGATTTTTTTTTATGTGAATCATGAGTTGTTGAGTCACAATCATAATAAATCATAAATAAACTTTTACACAGAGCTCCACGCCATTTCTCCAAGAAATCATGCATCACTTTACTCTCTTTCTCCATTGTAGGTGGAGATCAACCTGTTTTCTAATCTTCATATTATATATATTTTATCAAATATTTACAAATGTAATATAAACAACCAAACTAAATGAAAATACAAAATTATTTACATGTTAGCATAATTGGACCAGTAAAAATTGTTAGTTCAGTTTCACTGAATTTTTTTTCAATTAAATATGTTTTAAATTGAATAATCAAACTGGTCTGAATTTTTATACCTAAAAGGCTAAAATTATATGTCAAACTAAGTACTTAACAATATATTTAAAAATTCTGTTTAGTTTTCATATATATAAATTCTAAACCATCTTAAACTTTATAACTAATTATTATGATTTTTATTTATAAATATTTAAATATGTATAAATTATTTTTAGAAAATCACTGGTTATATCGGTTAGTGAAACTCTAACTATATTAACACTTCATTTTTATTTTTATATTTCTTCGCAAAACAACATATATATTAAATTATAAATATTTTTATAAACTATATTTACAAAATAATATAATGATACAAACTATCTGATTTTACTATATTCAAAACCAAAATAAATTATGATTTAATTGAAAAATATATATAATTAAATATACCAAAGAAAAAAATTGAACCTATCTAAATTGTTATGATATCACATATTTAAACATAATATTATATTTACTTTATATATAAGTAGATTATAAAATGAATTAAAATTGAAATTCGCTAATTATAATTAGTTTTTTTTGTTTTACATGAATTTCTATCTACATATATTAAAAGGAAAAAGAAACAGTAGGAGAGAGGAATATTAAAAGAATTTGTTCGTGAAGAACTTTTTTAATAAGTGAAAGAGCTTCTAAACCCATTTGTCTTTCTCTCAATAAGTTGAACTTGACTTAATTTTAAAATTTTAGTTATTCATATAATTTATTAATAAAATAATATATAAAACCTCAATTGTGAGAGACTTATTAGTAATGATATTCTTATTTATGTTTCGCTAATGTAAAAAGTAAAATATAATGCAAGATATCTTCTAAGTATACATTAATTGAGAAAATGCTGATTACAAGGTTTAGGTGTCAAACACCAAAACTATTCTCATATCTCATATTAAAAAAAACTAAAGTTATTACAAACACTACAAGAGTGGTGTCATTGTATATAATAAATTGGATTATCCATTAACCGAATGCTTACAAATAATTCTTTTTCTTAAATAAAAACTACAAGCCTACACATTAATAATATTGAATAACAAACATTTTATAAAATAATTTATAGATCGTTTATATTTTTTAATCTTTTATTATTAAAGTAAATCAAATAATCATATTAAACAAAGAATAAAATTTAATTATGTGTATATATTATATTTAATTTTAAAAGGATTATAAATTACTATAGTTAAGAATATACTATATAAATCTATATATTAATTTACATGTAAATGTTATTATATATCAGACGAAAATTTCATACATATTTTAATTTTAAAATTTTAATAATATGCATCATACTTAAATTGATAAATTTTATATAATTTTAACTTGATCAATCAATAAATATAAAATTTAAATATATTGAAATGAAATTTTTTTATCACCATCGAATTCCATGCAGAGCACAGATTATTATTTAGTATTTTCATTATTCTTTATATAAAAGCAAAAAATAATAATTCTAAATATATTTTAGACTGACTAATTCAGCAGTGAAGCGAATGTAAAGTTTTCATGTTCTTGGGAATCAAATGTGATAAGTATTTGATCTTTTCTCTTTTTGGTATTAAATGTATCCACTTTCCAGTATTACTTTTGGGTCTAAATGTCAAGATTCTTTTTTCAGAAAGATATTTTTTTTCTGGAAAGGGCAGTCAACGTTTCTTAATCTAGAAAGGATAATCTTTTCAGTAATTTGACTAAATGTTTTTTTTTTCAGTTCAAAAAAAAAATTCATTGTAAAACTACTGGGGACTGGGGGTTAACAGCAAGTTGATATACGTATAGCATATTACGTATACAGATAACTTTTAGTTCTTGTTGAGAAAAGGTTTTTTAACGTTTGTGTATAAATACCTTGTAAGTTATATGGTTCTTGAATACAAAAAAGTTCCCTGCATCTTTGATCTCTCTCTCTCTCTCTCTTGAAGATCATCTCTATTTTAATTTGTGTCATCTGTGTTTAATTTTTTTCTTTTTGTATTATCCATCAGTGGTAGCAATGTCGCTTGTTCGAGCAGGGATGATCGCTATTCTTATAATCGCGTTTCTGCAAAACGCTGCGGCTAAGAACAGACCGCACAGTATTGAAAAGTATCATGGTGCGGTTGCGACAGACGATGGACGGTGTTCTAAAATAGGAATGAGAATTCTGCGTCAAGGAGGAAACGCTATTGATGCGTCCGTGGCCGCTGCTCTTTGTTTGGGAGTTGTGAGTTCAGCGTCTAGCGGCTTAGGCGGTGGAGTCTTTATAGTGGTTAAGAAGGCTGGTGGGAAAGAAGTAGCTTACGATGCTAGAGAAACTGCTCCTCTCCGCGCCTCTGAGGTAACATTGTTTTGTGATATGCGTTATGAACAAACGTTTACTTCATTATCATGTATAATATAACATTGATGAGGGTATGGTACATAATAGCGTTTTTGATCTCTCTTATAATTGTAGAACGCTATCTGAGCTCAAATAGCATTTTTATATATTTTCTTCTTAATAAGATTTTTGAACACGATCTTGAGCTTACTAGATCATCGTAACGTTTTTATGCTATTCAACAAGTGTTTTTATTTTTAACTTTATTTTCCTTTTAAAATGTTTTTAACGCTATGTTTAGTTTTACTGGCGTGTTTTTTGTTTTTTGTTTAAATTTAAATAGCCTTAAGAAACATTGCATTCCTCGTGATACTGTTTATGAGTAGGGGTGGGCACGGATCGGATATCCGGATTTTTTAAGGTATTTGTGATTTGCTTCGAATGTTACGGATATTTAATTTTGGTATTTGCTTTGCTTCGAAAAAATACGGATATCCGGAAAAACGGATATCCGGAAAATAAATAGATATTTGCGGATATTTACGAATATTTACAGATATCTCATCCATTTTGATTAATACAAATAATCTTAAAATTTTGATACAAATTTGCTTTGCAAAATTATTTTTTTGCATGATATATAAAATAAAACTTAAAAGAACTAGTGAAATTATATATTTTGTAATTTTTTTAAGCTTAAGTTACAATTATAATAACACAAAATTTAAGAAAAAATATAATTGTCATAATTTTCTTTCTTTATTTTTATGTAATACTTTATATAAGTAATAATTTGAATAGAGTTGTTCAAAATCATATGCTAGAATAATTATTATATAATTTTATACATTTAAAATGTTAAATATATGCAAGATATACATATATTTATATATTTACGGATCAGATCGGATATCCGCTTCCCAAAATTTTACTATTTGTGATTTGCTTCGATTTTAACGGATATTTAATTTTAGTATTTGCTTTGATTCGAAAGTTTACGGATATCCGGAATTTTCGGATCGAATCGAAACGAATAACGAATCGAATCAAATATAACGAATAAAATGCCCAGCCCTATTTATGAGTCATAGACAGCTTATTTTTCTTTCTTGATATTGAATATGAACTAGTATTTCTGATCAAATATGCGTTTTGAATTTAAGTTAAATTGTTTCAAAAAAAAAAGAATTTAAGTTAAATAGTGTTCGACGTTTGATATTTAGACATTCCTTGGTTGTATTTTTTCTTGATGTAGAATATGTATGGAGGCAATCTTGATCTAAAAAAGAAAGGAGCCTTATCAGTAGCCGTTCCCGGGGAAGTTGCTGGTCTATTCACGGCTTGGAAACAACATGGAAAGCTACCGTGGAAGCGGTTAGTTAGTCCCGCAAAGAAACTCGCAGCTAGAGGTTTCAAGATTACAAAGTATCTCCATATGCAGATGAACGCCACCAGGGACCATATCCTAGCAGACAAAGGTCTCTCTAAACTATTTGTTTCAAATGGTGAGCTCAAGAAACCAGGAACAATTTGCCGGAACCCAAAACTGGCTTTAACCTTGAGGCACATTGCAAAGTATGGTCCAAAAGCGTTTTATAATGGCACGGTTGGGGTTAACCTAGTGAGAGACGTCCTCAAATTTGGAGGGATAATAACTTTGAAAGATATGCAAAGTTATAGAGTCAAAGTCAAAAAACCATTATCCGCAGACATTCTAGGACATCGACTACTCGGTATGCCTCCTCCTTCATCCGGTGGTGCTGCAATGGTCCTTGTAAGTTCATTAAATTTTTGATTATTTCAAAAAGAAAAAGAAGTGATTATTTCACATTTTATTAGACCTAAGCTTACTAAAAAAATATTTTTTCGGATTTTTTTTTTTTGTGTTGCAGATTTTGAACATTCTATCTCAGTATGGAGTTCCATCAGGAGTTTCGGGCTCTCTTGGTGTTCATCGATTAGTAGAGGCTTTAAAACATGCTTTCGCAATTAGAATGAACCTTGGAGATCCAGATTTCGTTAACGTTACTAAAGTTGTTTCGGATATGTTGTCTCCAAAGTTTGCAAAAGAATTGAAGAGGAAGATAAACGACAATAAAACCTTTGATCCAAAATATTATGGTGGCAAGTAAGCGTTTTTTTTGATACATGTAATATTTTTCTTCAATTCTTGATTGATTAATCTTTTTTTTATTCAACTTGTAAAGGTGGAACCAGATCAAAGATCACGGAACAAGCCATGTATCGATAATAGATCGTGAGAGGAATTGTGTTTCGATGACTAGTACAATAAACGCTTACTTTGGTGCATTGATGGTGTCTCCTAGTACCGGAATCGTTTTGAACAACGAAATGGATGATTTCTCGATCCCTTTGAAGTCCTTTGGTGACTCAGATGTGCCGCCACCAGCACCTGCTAACTTTATACGTCCCGGGAAACGACCTTTGTCATCCATGACTCCAACCATTGTACTCAAGGTTTGAAGAAAAAATAAAAAAATTACTTGTGACACACGAAACTCTTACGTGATAGTTTTTGCATGCGCTTATTTACGTAGGATGGTAAAGTTAAAGCTGCAGTGGGTGCAAGCGGAGGAATGTATATCATCGCTGGAACAACTGAAGTTTTCTTGAATCATTTCTTCCTCAACAAGGATCCTCTTTCTTCGGTCGTGGCTCCAAGAATCTACCACCAGGTTATTATTTATATCCAAAATTTTATTGTTTTTTTGGTCCATAGCTAATATTTTATTCATGTATTGTCATTTTCAGTTGATACCAAACAGAGTTTTATATGAGAATTGGACGACGGCTTACAATGAGCATTTCGAGATACCTAAAGGGACAAGACATGTGTTGGAGAAGAAAGGTCATGTCGTAACGCCGTTTGCTGGAGGGACGATTTCTCAGTTCATAGTTCAAGAATCCGATGGGAAGCTTGTGGCTGTGAGTGATCCAAGAAAAGGAGGGTTCCCTTCAGGATATTGAGATTATATTTGATCTCTTCTCCTTGTATATTATTGCATGGAAATGAATCATTAACAATAATAATAAGGCCAGAGCTTTATTTATGGCAATTAAATCTCCTAAAAACACTAGAAGAAATTTTATTACTAAAATAGCTCACAAAAAATGATCAAAATAACTTTGATTAAAGAACAAAAGGATTCAGATACTACTAATAAATAAACATTTTGAAAATATTATTTAAAATATTCTTATTTTAAATTTTACACCAAATCATAAACCCACCTCCTTCCCAAAAGAACTAAATCCTAATTCTTAATTAATTAGATTAATAAACCATAGATATATATGTGTATTGAAACCTTTTAATAAAAACTATTTAATCATTTTATTTATTTTATTCATTTATTTTTTTTCTTCAGTCATATAAAGAATATTGGAATCAATCATTTGGTAACTATATTTACAACTCTATAATATGTATGGCAAAAACATTGATGTAGTCTTTATATGACTGAAAAGCAACATAACATTGATGTAGTCTTTTTATAAGTTTATAAAGTCACTAACTTATGTTGTTAATTTATAAAATCTTACTTAGATCATGAAGACTATATATCATCTTTCTCTCACCAAAATAGCCTGAAAGCATTATAAGCCATTCTTTATATAGTAAAATTTTCCATTACAAACATTGTTTCTCACCTTGATTTGATTGGTGAACCCGCAAGTATTGCGAAAAGTCACGTCTTAAAACATAATCGCAGAACCATAACACACATCTTTCATTTCCCCTAAGCAAACCATAACGATCAAGAAAGTTCTCTAAAATTTCAGCAACCGTGGCGAAGCTATATAAAAAAGAAGAGGATACCAAAAAGGTAATGGAAGAAGAAGAAGAGGATGAAGACGACACGTTCGAGGATGCCGTGTGCAACAAGACACCCGCCAGAGTCAACACACCTTTGTCTATAATCACCGAGGCGTTCGAAAACCTAGCTGATCTGCTAAAACCCGACATAACAACCGAAGAAGAAGAAGACGGTTTAAGTCTTGATGCTTTCTGTAACGCGTGTACTCACGTCTCTGTCCTCTTCAGCTGCCTAGGGTTCGCCTTCAAATTCGCTGAGATGGAGTACATCTCCAAAGTCAATGATTTGGTTGAAGCATCGAAGACATTAGACACGTTACAGAATATTTTGGACCTAGACGTGGAGAAAGATACGGTGAAAACACCAGGAAGCCGTTCACGTAACCTAAGACGTGTGAGACTAGGGTTAGACCTAATCCGAGCGATCTTCGAGAAGTTCTTGATGACAGATGAATACTCTTTGAAAGACGCTGCGACAACAGCTTACACAGAGGTGTGTGCGCCGTTTCACACGTGGGCTGTTAGAACCGCGGTTTACGCGGGAATGTATACACTTCCAACGAGGGATCAGCTTTTAATACGGCTCGATGAAACTGAACAGTCTGTTGAGAAGAACATGAGGAGGTACATGGAAGCGTCACGACCCATCATAGAGTATATTGATAAACTTTACATTGAAAGGAACATTAAACTTGACTGGTAACAATTTTTGTTATACGTCAGCTTTGTCTTTGTAAATTACTAATATTACTATTAATATGTTTTTTTTTTCTTTGTAAATTAAATTTGGTGCTTTTGTCTGAAGGCCAATACAAAAACGAGAGTGTTACTTGATGTAATACGCACTCAAAACGTTTTGAAAACGAATTAGAGAAAGGAATAAGATCATCTTCCTTTTCTATGCTTTTAATTTATTTCATTTTGCTTTTGACTACCAATTTATTTCTGAAGTTGCCCGTTGGTGTTGGACAAACTTTCTTTGGGTTGCGTATTCATTTTTTTCAGTTTTCAGGTATGATATACACACTACAAAGAAACAAATCATTTATCACGCTAGTCTCACACACTAGAGGTTCCCGGTTCACACACAGACTCAGACATTTTTCTAATTTTTTAAATATTAAAAGCTAAAAATAGAATTAAATACATCTTACTAATGTCAGCTGCTTCATCTATAATTTGAGACATCACCAAAATTTTCATTCAAGATATAAAATTGTTAAAAGTCTATATTACTTGTATTCTTGTAACATTTTTTATAAAATCTATATGTAAAGTTATGTTTACTCCCTCTCGAACCGCCACGTCAGATTCCACATCAGAATACCATCGTGCCACATGTCTCTGCATCCAAAACGTGTCATTTCACCAAATCAGGTTCTATGGTTGTAACACCTGTCCACGACAGCAAAACTTTGTGGGCTTTCTGTTAATCCTGAGAATTTGAGTCCAAACAGAAAAAACCAAATCTGATAACTCACATTAAAACGCTAGATTTTCTGTTCTTCTTCCAAATCCAATACTTATCAACTTCACTCTGCGTTTCACAAATCGAGATGAAGAAACGCAGAACACAAACACTATCATAGAATCTCCTCACTCTGATAGAGAGAGAGCTAATATCTTTGAGACTTATCATTCGCAACAATGTAAAAGGCTGATGATAAATTTCCAAAACTTACATTCTGAGAGTCTGCATCACTTCCTTCACTTGAACCATCAGAAGCACCCTTAGCAAAAATGTTTATGCAAAAAACCTTGAGTTGCTCTACTAGTGTGGAGTTGACGAGGAACACAAATGTTTTATATTAAACTGTTTATGTAAAAAACCTTCTTTAAAATTTATTTATGAATTTTAGCCTATATCCCTGTTCAATAGACTACCCAAATTGTCCGAATTCAAACAAGGAATAATTTTTGTTTTTAATAGAAAATATATTTTTTTTTACAAAATTGATATTTTCTGATTTGTATATATAACATACAACAATAAGTTTATGTTTAAGAAAAATATATTGATAGAATGATACTCATTGTTTTATAATTTTATTGGTGAGAGATAGATAGGTTAATGTTATTTCTCAACACAATCTACAAAACTATATTGAACGTTTTTTAATTTGGGTAATCTCTACATTATTATTATCCATGGATTACTTTCTAACGATAACGATCAATTTCATTATGCGTTCTTACCCACTGTCAATGGTGATTCGATAGTTTTGCTGACTTAAATCGAGATGAAAATTTTCTTTGTTTGTCTCCACTCGCGTCATTTAGCCTTCTACTCTATTTAACTGAACCGTCGGAGTTACAGATTCAGCACCATCATCGCCTTCTAAACAACATAGACCGACGTGTAGTACGATGTTCACATTGATTGTGAGTTATCCCTCTACAAGGAAGTCTACTCTTCACCTATAAAAAATTCGTTTTCTTCACTTGAACAATATCCTCACAATCCGTGAAAACACTAAATTTATAGATTCTCCTAGAATGGCTGACTTGTTAATCTTTCTTTCTGATTTGAAATCTAGTCGCTGCTCCTCCATTGTCCAAGTGTCAAACGTGGATGAGAACTAATGTCTCCTGACATGTTCTTAGTGGTTTTAAAGGTAAATATGTTCTTAAACTGATGTTCAGAGTGCTTTATGCTCATAAACTCATGTTCACAATATTTTTGAAGCCATGCTATAAGTGTTCTTAAGTTTTCTGTTCATCGTCTTCTTATGTTATTAAACTCATTCATAGTGTTCCTTAACTAAACATTAGGAAACTGTTATATCCAGATCTTAATTAAAAATTTTATGAAAAGTTTTCTTTGTGGGACAAGAGATTAAAAGTAATTTACGATGTTTTACCGGAATTTTTAATTATTTTTAAGATCTTTTAAAGGAACATTTTTTTTATAAAACTAAACTTTTGCTTATATTATCGAATCAGTTGATGAACGGTTACTAAAGGTATATTTTTTTTTTTTGTTATTGTAGGTATTTTGTCTATGATAAAAAAAAAAGAAAAAAAAAAGAAAGGGAAGGAAAACAAGGAGAGTATTGTTTGAGTAATAGAATTGATGTTTCGTTGTAAAAAAAAAAAAAAAAAATTGTTAATGGAATTAATGAGGCTGTCAAATTCAAATTGAA